ACGAACCGAGATGCCATGCCATCCTGCAGGAGTACCCTGCTCGCCACACACTGCTGCAATTCCAATGCCAGTACAGCGGGCGGAAACCCGCAACGGAGCGCCGCCTGAGCGAGCCCCGTCCACGGCATGCGGTCGTAGAACTTCTGGACGTCGATCAGGCCGTGGCCGTGCGAGACACCCATGGCGGCGAAGGCCTCCTCGCTCACCGCTCGAGCAAAGGCTTCGCGAAGCGCTGAGTTGCCCGCGACGGCAGCGCCCCAGGCTGGGGCCGTGCGCCTCGCCCAATCACGCATGCTCTCCTCGCGGATCATGCTCCAGCAGCGCGTGACCATGCTCAGAACTCCGATGATGCGCTCACCGCCACCCTTCTTCTCGAGAACGTGGCCCAGCACCAAGAGGAGCTGCTTGGGCCAGCAGGCGGCCCGCTCAGCAGAAGAGAAGATGTCGGCCAACCCCTGCAGCGCAGGGTCGAGCAACCTCGCCAAGTCCAGCACCGTGAACTGGTCCACGCCCTTGCCAGTCTGGGGCCGCATGCGCTGGAGGGCGCAGCGAATGTCGGCAACCGTGATGCGGTCCAGCTCCTCGTGCTGCACCTGCTCGCGGAGGTCCTCGAACAGCTCACAAACCTCCTCGCGCCTGACGGGATGGGGCGCCCACAGCTTCTCCCAAGAGGCCGCCTTGTGGTCGAGGATCGCGCTAGGGTGCACCAGGATGCTGCTGCCAACCAGGACCTCGTCTGCTGCCAGATGCCGCTCCCGCAGGGAGCGGAAGACCAACGGTGTGGCCCCGCCCATGCCGATCCACTGCCGAAACTGCCGCAGGGACTTGTGGACCGCCGACTGCGTGGCACGCGCTGCCGCTGCCGAGGCCGCTTCCTCGAAGGCCGCCAGGCTGCTGTCCGAGATGGCGCGCGCGCCACCCAAGCTCGCAACCAACGCCCTGAAGCTCCCCAGCTCGCCCTGCTACTCGCCTCCAGGAGACGGCACGGGCCCGCCGCCGTCACCTGGTGGGCGTCGCCCGCTAAGGGGCACGGGCGGAGGGGGGGCGAGTCGGACTCTGCTGCTGAGCTGGCCGCGACGGAGGTTGCCGCTGCTGCTGCCGCTGGGGACGAGCTCCTCGGCGCGCGCCAGCACGGCCCGCCAAAAAGCATCGGCGGGCTTTGGCGGGGGCGCGATCTCGCAGCTCCCGCCCAGCCTCTGCAAGAAGCCGCCGATCATATGTGGCCTGCTTGCTGCGCCGCCGAAGCTTGCCGACCCTAGAGAGTAGTGCTGCCGCAGAGGACCGCCAGCGCACTGCCGCCCCGCGAATGGGCTCGAGCCTGGTCGTCACACTCGGCGTGCACTTGCACTCGATCAGCCGCGCCTCTGAGCTGCGCGACACGCGTCCAAAAGTACTGCATCCGTGACGTGCGCGGATGGCCCTCTCCACGCGCCCAGCCCACTTCCCGTACTGGATGCTGATCTGAGGTAACAGGGCGCCACCAACAAGAAAGGCGGCTGACTCAGCCGCACTGCACTCCAAAGACTCCACCACGGACGCTCGGCATCGAGGCACTCGAACGGGTCTACCTCGCTGTCGTCAAACCGAGCTGCTGCCTGCGGGGAAGTGCCCGCCGCTGCTGCGGGGGGCCCCCAACCAACCTCCGAGTCCTCATCGCTGCTGTAGTCGCCCTCGGAGCCTGAACAGGTGGACAAAGCATCAAAGGTGCGATTCGGACAATGATCACCGAAGAGCTGGGAATGAAGCTCCAGCTCTTTCTGCCTGGCGAGGGCACGCCTTTCATCATCTCCTCTCTGCTTGGCGCGGCGGCCGCGGTGGGCGTCGGCGCGCGGCCGCTTCGCCACCTGAGGCAGGCCCTTCGCCATCGCCAGCTGCCGACCCAGAAGGACAGCTTGACTGGAACGAAACTGCACAACAAGACCGCAATGCGTCTTCCATGGGGCTGCGGCGGTGGCCCAGATGCCTGCCAACAGCGGGGCGCAGGCAGCAGAACACAGGCCGTAAACGGTGTGTGAACCGTGCTGGCCCGCGTCGCAGGTGGTCGCCACGTCCGCCATCACCACCTGCGCGCCAATGCGGCGTAAGAAACCAGCCTGCTGCAAGGTCTGGTGCGGCAGGTTGAAGTCGCCAATGACTAGCCAAGGCGCCTTGACGGCGCGGAGCAGGGCCCCGAGCTTGCCAAAGCGCCGCAGGTTGCTGCCGCGCCAGCCGACCCCGCTCACGCCGTAGAAGGTGACCACGACAACCTGCCTGTTGCCCGCAAGGTGGAGCACGCTAGCTTGGAAGCCGTCGGCGGACTCAGCACCAGGGGCGGCCAGCGCCCGACCACCACTACCCTCCAGCGTGTGCAAGTAGTGACCGCGCCGACACATCAACCACCCTCCTCCCTCGGTGCCGCTGACGACACCAGTGCCCTCCAGCATGCCACGCCTGGAGGGCCGCGCGTGGTTGGCCATGATCTTCAGATCAAGCTTCTTAGCTTCTCGTCGCCACTTCTCGAAGTGGCCAGCGCGCACGTGGGTCTCGACGAAACTGAACGAGCTGAAGCGGTTCAGCGACTCCTCCACGTAACCCCAAGCCTGTGGCCCCATCTCCGTGACATTCGCAAAGAATAGTCGATGGCCACCGCCTTCACAAAACTCGAGGTCAGCAGCCCCAGCTGCAACCTCAATCCCCTCAGCCTGCAGCGCCTCCTCATCACCTGGAGCGGCGGGCGTGGAGGAGGCGCCCAGGCCTGCGACTCCGCGGGTCGGGCTCCCAGGGGCCCGCGTCAAGCATGCCCGACCCGCGGCTGCCCGTCAGGCCACGGCAGGGGGGGGGCAGGAGCCCCCGCAGCCGACGGGGAAGCGGGGCCGCCTCCAGCTGGGGGGGCGCCTCCTGCCTCCTGGCTCGCTGCACTCGGCGGGGGCGCGGGGGGGCCCGCTGAAGCGGTCGCGCCAGCTGCAGCTGCTGCACGTGCTGCACGCGAGGCTGCGAACTTGGCGGCACTGATCACCTTGGCCGCCGCCGCCAGCCTCTTCACGTAGCGCCGAAGGGGAGCCAGTGCGGCGCTTCCTGCTGCTGCAACGCGAGCGGACCAGCGCTGCTCTGGACAAGATGAGCTTGTCACGTACCTGCATGGCCTTGGCGGCCAGCTCGACTTTGGTGGCTACGAGGGACTTCTCCAGATTCTGCAGCTCGCCCTGCTCCGCGGGCGAGAGGCCCTCCATGTTGGTGAACACGTCGGGGTCCCAGGAGAGGTGAAAGAGATCGTCCGAGACATCCGAGACGCCCGTCGCCCTCGCCACCTCAGCTGCGTGGCGGGCCATGACCGCCGCTGCGACAGCCTTGGCACGGTCGGCCTCCGCAAGGAGGAGCGCGAGCTCACCCTCCTTGACGCGGGCAGCTCGCAGCTGCTCCTCGAGGCGAAGCACCGCGTCGACCGAACCTTGGTGGCGGCGGGCTGCTTCCTTGTGGAGACCCGACGCCTTGCGGAAGACCTCGTCGGGGGGCTTCTCCGCCTCAGCTGGTGCCGCAGGCGTCGGCGGCTCCGCCAGCTGCTGGACCAGCTTGATGGCCGCCTTCACCTCGTCGGCCTGCGGGGAGGTGCTGGCCTTCTCGGCCAGCAGCGCCAGGAAGGACGAGAAGTCCGAGCCGTTGGAGCCCGTCTCGCTGCTGTTGCCGCTGCCCTGATGCCAGGGGCACTGGCCAACCCCACCCCGCGACGGCCGCGCCGGCCTGAGATATGGCTGGCGGCTGGCCTCACGGCGGCGAAAGGGCTCGACCTGCGCGCCACAGCTGCACGTCCAATGCGCATCGCCCCAGGATTCATTCCACATCCACTTCTTGCAGGTGAGGCAACGGGTCCAGTCATCGATGAATGCCACCTTCCTCTGCTGGGGGCTGCCTCCTCCTCCTGCCCTCGCGCTGCGCGGGGCGGGAGATCGCGCAGCAGGCTTGCTGCGCCCCATGGTTCGCACCGAATTAGTCGGGGAGAGACTCGGCGGGCTGCCGCGGCGACTCTCCCGTCACCAAGAACGCGTCGCGGACGCTCGGTGCTGGCACGAAGGCGGGCGGGTCCCGCGCCCGAGCCAGAGCGGTTCTTGAGAGGAGGAGGAGGAGCAGGAGGAAGAGGAGGAGAAGGAGGAGGAGGAGAAGGAACGACAGGGTTGGGCTCCACAGGGCCCCGGCACCAGCTCGTCAGCCCGAGCCGCTTCCTTTCACAGCGCCCACGGCCAGGCAAGGGCCCCCAGAGGCCGAAAATCGCCAGATTCCTCCCGATGGGAATGTGTTCACAACGCGAGGGGAGGGCTCGGTCTTCGTCCCGATTCTCTTCGTATTCCTTGGCGGTCCCTGAGATCCGACGTGGTTTCAAACATGAAGAGATGGAAACGACTGGCGCCCCAGACCCAGTCGTCTGGGTAGTCGAAGCCAATCTGGCGCCAATCTGGCAGGCCCAATCTGGCAAACGGGGGCAATCTGGCGAGGGAGCCAACGCGAATCCAGTCTGGCGAATAACCCAAATCATCCAGTTTGGCCGGGCCAGATTGGCCCTTGGGGCCCAATCCAATCTGACAGTCTGGCCTTCGACTACCCAGGTCGTCCTGCACCGCTCCTCGAGCTGGGGCGATCTGTGCGGGTCTCGGGGCCAGAGCCCGAGCGAAAACGCCGGGTGTGCGAGAGAAAAAATGCGACGCCCAGAACGGAGGCACGGGCCCCCGACCGCTCATGTTGCTCCCATCGTACTTCAGGACCACGTCCCAGAAATCATTTCGAGCACCCACACAAGCGTCGAAAGAGTGTCGAAAGAGTGTCGAGAGTGTCGAAAGAGTCTCCCAGGGCCCGACACGTGAAAACCCTCGACTTTGAGAATGTTTTCCTGGTGCTCGAAATTCATTCTGGTGATCAAGGCTAAAGTAGGTTGGAACATCATAAACCGAGAGGCCGAAATCTATAAACAACCTCCGCCTCGCCCCGATCGAAAGCAGCACGAAGCCAGGATCTCAAGGGCCGTGCCGATCCTCTGCTGCTCAAACAGGCCCGGAGGGTGGCAGCGGTAGAACTCCCGGTACAGCCCGTGGACTCCCTTCTTGAGCAGGGGCCGACCGTCCTGGCATTCCTATAGGCCTACCACGAAATGCTCTTCCACGAGCGTCCTAAGAACAAAAGCCAGGTTCCCAGAACACTAGCCCGACGTGTTAAAACAAGACGACCTCAGCCAGAAACGTTCTGAGAACACTTCGCGCAGACCACAAAATGTTCTTAGAACATGTTTTGGTGGGTCTATAGACCAGACCCCCGACGTGGTGATTTTTTCAACACGGGGCCGCCAGAAGTCTCGACCCATTCCCTGGGACCGCTTTTTCACCCTGAGCTGTTTTTTGACGCTCCCGACGAGGCCCAGGAAGGGCCCCCGGAGGCCGAAAGTAGCGAAACAAAAACGTCGTGATTTTCGTTCACAACGCGAGGGCGTCTGGGTTCCCAGAGATCCGACGTCGAAATATTTTCAAGACGGGTCCCGGGAAGCCTCGACCCATCCCCCGGGACCCGTTTTTCGTCCTGAATAATCGCTTTTGGACGGTCCCAGGGCCCGGCGAGGGCCCCCGGAGGCCGAAAGCGGCAACAAACAAAAATCTCTGACTTGATTTTTCAATACGTCGGGGATGGACAGACCCCCCTTTCGTAAAACGTGGTTTAGTGAAAACGACCTGAGGCCCAAACCTGGCGGGCGCAAGCCTGGAAAACAGCGGCCACGGCGCCCTCTCGAGAACCGAAAACGGAAAATCCACTAATCGACGTGTCACTGTTGGGGGTTCTGTCCAGCCCCGACTCTTGCGTCCAGATGTCGTCCAGGTTTGGTCCACATGCCAGCCGCATCCGAAAACTCCGGACGACACCCCCAACACCGCGAGGGGTCGGGGATCCCCTGAGGCACACACGAAGGACCACACGTTCACGCTGCTGCCCTCGAGCCCTCGAGCCCTCGAACCGCCACCGACATCCTCCCCGCATCAACGACCCTCCCCTGAGGGCCCCTGGGGGCTCTGCCCACCCCCGACTACGTCGGATCTCTGGGCCTGGTGGGCCCCTGGGCGAGCCAGGGCGCCGCGCCCCTGCCCGACCTTCGGGCACTCGCCGTGCCCCCCCGGCCCCTGCGGCCCCCAGCGCCGGGCCCACTCGGCCTCGGGGAGGGCCTCGGTCCAGAAGGGGGCCAGGCCGTAGCCCAGCCACTCCTCGGAGGGGCAGCGGACCAGCCTCCAGGGTGCTACGACAGCAGCCCCTCCAGACCTACAGAGGGACCTATCGGGACGGCTTTTCAAAACCTCGGGTGGATGCTTCAGCTGTCGAGGTCCTGGTGCCATGTTGCAGCCCTCGAGGAAGGCCTGGGCCATCACCCCTCCCTTGGCCGCCCCCGACGAGGCCCCGACCCCAGACTTCCGACGTCGTGATTTCTTCACAACATCGACCCCCAAGGGTCTCGATCCCTTTCCCCAGGACCAGTTTTTCATTCTGAGTCGTTGTTTAACGGCCCCGAGGCCCGGCAAGGGCCCCTGGAGACCGAAAATAGTAAAAAATCTCCCGTCCTGGATCTTTTCACAACGCGTGGGGGTCTGGGAAGGATTTGAGGTTTGAGTTTTTCGGGCGTCTTCGAAGGCTGTTGGCGGTTTATTCTGGCCTCGGCGGGGGTGCCTTATCCAGCGGCTGCGCTTCTACTAAAGGGCGCTCCTGGGCCCGCATGGCCGCCAGAGGCCCGAGTTATAACCCGAAGCCTAGACGATGAGGATCACTGAGGGGGACCAGCTCAGGTTAGGAGGCAGCTACTGGCAGGTCTTCGTCGGAAAAATCCAAGAAGGAATTAAGCCCCATCGGGGGGCTACTACGCTGGATTAGGCCGCGGATTAAGCGGGATTGAGCTGGATTGCGCTGGATTAGACCAGATTCAGCTGGACTTGAGACCGGGGCGAAGTCAGAATCTGACCTCCCAGGAGTTGCATCCGAACTCAAGGTATAGGGGAGAACGTCGACTCGGGACCGGCGATGCATCGCCGACAAATCGGCGGTGTAGGCCCCCGAGGGGCAAACCGCACGTTCCCGGGCGGGGTGTGCTGTCGGGCCCCTCTCGGCGATCTCCGTGGGCGGCTGGGGGTCGCCACCCTGAGCCCATCCCCGCTCCCAGACCTTCCTCGAGGGCCCAACCAATAGCGCCAGGACCTCGCCATCTAGAACCCTGTCGAGGTTCTAGTTAGCGGCGCGCAAAGGGGGCCAGGAGGAGGGGGGAAGGCTTCTTAGAAGCACCCCTGCTTCTTAGAAGGCCCCGGCCTTCCGTCTATAGGGAAGGCCAGCGCCTTCTAAGGAGCAGGGGTGCTTCTAAGAAGCCTTCCCCCCTCCTCCTTCCTACCCACCCCTCTGCGCGTCGCCGATCTAAGCAGTCCAGATAGGTCTATAGGTCTGGAGGGCTAACTGTTGCTGGCGCTCTGGGAGGTCCGGGCTGAAGGCGGCCCCTGCTCCTCGGCCGAGGCGCGGGCCACGCACACGGCGCACTCCTGCTGGCAGGAGGGCGCCACCCGATGCAGCTAGCCCTTAGGTCGGGCACGTCCTCCCACAGGCGGCTTCTGGGCGACAACTAAAACAAAATACTCGAGCAGCACTCCAAACAAAGGATCCCAAATGGTCAAACATCGTCCCCAGACTAGCGTTTCACTATTTTGGCGAGAAATGAAAATAACCAAAAGATGCCCCAAAATAGTCAAATATAGTGAACAACGGACAAAAACGTCCCCAGACCAACTTGTCAGCTTTTGAAATGCTCCCCCCCCGTAGAGGGACGGGCCCCCGACCGAGAAGCTGCCCCGAGAGCCTGCTGGCGTCGCCGTTCTCTCTTGCATGGCCACGGGCCGGCACGGCCGCCCCTCCTCCTCGCCAGGGCCCGGGAGCCCGGCGTGCGCGTGTGTGTGTGCGCCGCCCCTGCCCGGCCAGGAAGGCGGCCTGCACCCGGGGCATCCGACGGCGTGCCGTGCGCCCAGGGCGCGGCCCCCGGAGGTCGGGGGGCGTCCAGGAGGGTCGGGCGAAAGGGGGGGATAGCAAAGCGGGGGGGTGAGAATCAGCTCACGTAGCTGATTTTCCCGGCGCCTCCCGGCGCCGGAGGCGGCTGTGTATCGAGGAATGGGCCCCTCGGTTTCGTAACCCCCCCTTTCCCAATCCCCCCCTTTCGCCCGGCCCGAGTCCAGGAGGGGGGCCTCCGAGAAGGGGGGGCCCGCATATCAGGGGCCGCGGCGTGTGCGCGGGCAAGGGGGGGGACCAGGGGACGCATGGAAAGAAGAAGAATAATAATGAGTTGGAGGAGAAGGAAAGAAAGAACATAACGATGAACAACAATATTCAGAAACATAAGAGTACGAATAATAACTATACGAACAAAAAACCGAATACATCATAATAATGCTAAGGAAAAGAAAAAGAAGAAGGAACCATATAAGAATCATAATAAGAAGAAGAAGCAGAAGAAGAGGGGGCCATGAAGTCCCGTGAGATATCGTGGCTCCGGCCATGTCCACACCCACACACAAACCTAGTCGCATGTCCTTCCAGAGTGCCAAAACAATAGCCCTCCAGACCTGTATAGAGACCGATCTGGACGGCTTAAAGAACATCGACTGGGTTTTGCATGTCGAGGTCCTGGTGTTGCGTTTTAGCCCTCGAGGAAGGCCTGGGCCTCTTGGCCGCCCCCGAAGAGGCCCCGCCCCCAGACCCCCGAGGTGTGGATTTGTTGAAATCGTCCACCACCAAAGCTCTCGATCCCTTCGCCGGGATCCGTTGTTCATCCTATGACCTATGAGTCGTTGTTTGACGGCCCCGAGGCCCTGTAAGGGCCCACGGAGGCCGAAAATTGTGAAAAAATCCCGTCGTGATCTTTTTCACAACGCAATGGGGGTCTGGGAAGAGGACCCCCCCCCACGCCCCTGGGGTGGCCTCTCCTCCCGGACTGATCCGTGCTCGGCCCCAGGGGCCCGCCCGACACGCAGCGAAGTCCCCGAAAGATCCCCGAGAGATCGGGGATCTTCTGACCCGGGTCAATGCAGACCCGGGTCAGCCAGGCCTTGCAGAATCCTGCAAGATCCTGCAAGACCCTGCACCCAAACCTGGGTCAATGCGAAGGATCCTGCAAGATCCTGCAGGATCCTGCGCCCAAGCCCGGGTCAATGGGAGCCTGGCTCTGCAGGATCCTGCAAGATCTGGCGCTCTGGCTGACCCCCGTTTGCATTGACCCCCGTCTCAAGGCTCCCGAAGAGAGCGGTAGGCAGATCGGCCGGGGCCCGACAGGAACCAGATCGCCGATCCGAACCCTGCAGCACCGGGGGGGCGCTGGTGAATCCAGACCCCCCCGCGTTGTGCAAAAAAACAATATTTGGCCTGCCAGAGGTTGTGCAAAAAACAAAATTCGGCCCCTGCTGGTGAATCCAGACCCCCCCCACGATGGGAGGTTTTTCGCTATATTCGGCTTCTGGGGCCCTTGCCGGGCCTCGGGGCCGTCAGAGAAGGACTCGGGATGAAAAACTGGTCCCGGGGAAGGGATCAAGACCTCTTGGGGTCTGGGAAGGAATGTGCCCAGGAGGCTTCCCAGGCAGGCTCGCGACGCGGAGCGAGACTCCAGGCGGGAAGTCTTTCTCGCCGTGTTCGGCCCCTGCCGGGCCCTCGCCGGGCCCTGGCCCCGGCGAAAAAAAGAGCGACTCAGGATGAAGAGCCGGTCCTGGGATTTTTTTTCCAGGCAAAGCCATGCGGTACAGATTTTAAGTGTTTCGTCTGGCAACACTACAGGGTTAATACATCCTCTGGTCTGTCCCCGCCGGACTACAAACGCAAGTGTACACAAAGTGTAGACAACTGCTAAGATACATCATGTGGACTTGCTAAGATAGATCATGCTGGGGAAAGAGTCGAGACCTCGGGGGAACGCGCATTCAAAAGACTGTCTGGGCCCAAACCCTGGAGGATTCCTTCTCTGATCATGGCGGCGGCAATGGGCCTGGCCAGTCCACGATTGGAGTTTCACCGGCATCCAGACCCTGGACTCTTATTCCTTCTGAGTGCCAACGTTGCAAAACACATGCGAGATCGCAAACAATCTCAATCGGAGCCCTAGGCCCCATCTTTCTGCGCCATTTTCGATCTCTGAGGCTCCAACGAACGGCTCGAACACATTGAGACGCCACGATCTAAGGACATGGTTCCTTACCCAGAGATGCAAGTTCCCGAATCTATCGAGACGGGGTCCCCTGAAATCCCGCCCCTTTCCCCAGGACCGGATTTCATCCTGGGCCGCTGTTTGACGTTCCCGGGGCCCGGTGAGGGCCCCCAGAAGCCGAAAACGGTGAAAAACCTCGGGTCCTGATTTTCCAGGGCGCAAACATGTCTGGGTAGATCCAGTGCCCTTACCTTTCGCACCGGCCCCTGTCAGGGCCGCCGGCGCGGGCGCGCACTCGCGTGCATGCAGATGGCGCCCTCCGGGCTGGGCGTAGGCCCGGAGGTGCTGCAGGCTCGAGAAGGTCCAGCCGAACCCCGCGCCGACCTGACGGGGCCCAACCCAGCAGGCAGAATTGCGTCGATAAAAAGAGGACAGGGTTACGGCGAAAAAAAAAAACACTGGAGGCTTCTGGCCATTGTCGGCCTCCGGGGGCCCTCGCCGGACGCATGGGTCGTCAAAAACTACGCAGGATGGGAAAAGGAACGCCCATAATTAGCATCGTGGGCGTCCAAGAGGTGAGTAGGAGGAGGAGAAGGAGGAGGAGAAGAGGGCGGAGGAGGAGGAGGAGGAGGAGGAGGAGAAGAGGGCGGAGGAGGAGGAGGAGGAGGAGGAGGAGGAGAAGGAAGGAGGAGGAGGAGGAGGAGGAGGAGGAGGAGGAGGAGGAGGAGGAGGGAGGAGGAGGAGGAGGAGGAGGAGGAGGAGGAGGAGGAGGGAGGAGGAGGAGGAGGAGGAGGGGAGGAGGAGGAGGAGGAGGAGGAGGAGGAGGAGGAGGAGGAGGAGGAGGAGGAGGAGGAGGAGGAGGAGGAGGAGGAGGAGGAGGGAGGCGGAGGAGGAGGGAGGAGGAGGAGGAGGAGGAGGAGGAGGCGAGGAGGGCGAGGAGGAGGAGGAGGAGGAGGAGGAGGAGGAGGAGGAGGAGGAGGAGGAGGAGGAGGAGGAGGAGAGGAGGAGGAGGAGGAGGCGGAGGAGGAGGAGGAGGAAGAGGAAGAGGAAGAGGGGGAGGAGGGAGGGAGGAGGAGGAGAGGAGGAGGGGAGGAGGAGGAGGAGGAGAGGAGGAGGGGGAGGAGGAGGAGGAGGGCGAGGAGGAAGAGGACAAGGGAAGGAGGACGAAGATGAGCAGGGGGAGGAGGGGTGGGTCACAAATCATGGCCCGAGGCATCTGCGCGGACAGGGGGGGGGGAACCAGCGGACGCATGGAAAGAAAAGGGGTAGGTCATGCATGACTTCTGGGGAGACTTAATGGCCTGCGGCCAGGAGAGGAAGGACGAGGGGGAGGGCGAGGAGGGGAGCACGAGGGGCGAGGAGGAAGAGCGGGGAGGAGGGCGAGGAGGGGAGGGGCGAGGAGGGGGAGGACGAGCTTTGCTGCCATCCAACAATTGCTTTGGGGGGGGGAGGGGGCGCAGCGTTAAAGACCAATCGCCGTTGGTCGTCACCCCTGCGCCGCCCCCGAGACACCGCTGCTCCCCGGACTTGTCCCAGGGCGCGCTCTGACCAAGAGTTCGGGGCGAATCCAGCGGTGGCGGCGGGCGAGGGCCTCCCATGAGCCCCGAAGAGACGAACACGATCGAGGCAAGGGTAGCAGTGCCGGTACCTTTTCCATAAAAAAAACGAACATAGATTTGTTTCACGACGTGGGCCCTCAGAAATCTCGACATTCCCCAAGACGGGTGTTCTATCCCGAGCCGATTTGTTCTATACTCCCGGGGCCGGGGCCCAACGAGGGCCCCAAGAGGCCGAAAGAATTGAAAAACGACCGTCGCAGATTGTTGCCCGATGCGAGAGGGGTCATCTCACAAAACATCCGACCGGAACCCTCGGGCCGAATCGATCCGTGAGAGCCCCGGGGCCCGACGAGGGGCAAAATCGCCGGCTGTGACAAAGCTGCGACGCCCGAATCTCAGGGTCGGCCCAACCACTTAGGCTTTTGGGTCATAACTCGGGCCTCTGCCGGCCGATGGGGGCGATTCTGGCACCCCCGGGCACGCCCTCGGCGAGGCGCAGCTGCTGCTCAGCATCCCGAGGTTCGACAACCGCGGGGAGACGACCCGAACACCTCGAACCTCGCAGCTCGCACCCCGAACCTCGAACCTCGAACCTCGACGCCGAACCCGACGCCGACCAGCCCTGGCAGCGACCACGCCACCAGCAGCTCGCACCGCGCGCCGGGGCCCGCCGCCGGCGGCCCGGCGGCGGCGGCGCGCGCCGCCGGGCCGCCCGCCGCCAGGGCCGCCAGGGCCACGGGCGCCGCGGGCGCCGCCGCGGCGGCGCCGCCCTCAGCGCCGCGCAGGGCCGCGGCGGCGCCGCCCTCGGCGCCGCGCAGGGGGGCGAGGAGCGCCCTGCTCGCCGACACGCAGGGCGTGGCCCATGGGCAGGAGTGGCCCTCTGGTGCGCGGCTTTCCACAGGGGCCGCGGCGCGGTCAGATTCCGAGCACGGTCGGCCCGCTTTTCATCAGGGCGCACTGCTGCAGCCGATGCGTCGTGAAGACGCTGCTTCAGCCGATCTGTCGTGCAGGCACGGCGTTCTTGAATTTTTGAACTCCAGCGGTGGTCTGCCAGGGTGAGGTGAGGATCGCTGTGAACACCCCCCGGCCTGCGAGCCGCAGCCCCTGACCCAGACTGGACGCACGAGAAGGGTGCAAGGGCCTTGGAGGGCCCTGTCGACACTTTGCGAACAAGGCGCGACCAGCGAAAGCGGCCAAGGAGGAGGAGAGGAAGGAGGAGGAGAGGGAGGAGGAGGAGGAGGAGGAGGAGGAGGAGGAGGCGGAGGAGGAGGCGGAGGAGGAGGAGGCGGAGGAGGAGGAGGAGGAGACTGTGCGCAGGCCACGGCTGGGGCCGCCCCTGCGGGCCCGTACCAGAGGCCGCCCCGTCGACGGGTCACACTCTGTGCGCGTGGCCGACCTGCCGTAGAAGGACCGCTTCATGAAGCCAGCCTCGCCTGCAGGAGAAGAGACAAGCCTTGCGACCAGCGTTTTTTTGCTCTTCTGGGATCTCTGCGAGCGGGGGGGCCGCCGCTGGGCCCAGGACAAGCAGAGACGGATCCTGGACGAGAAAATACTCTCGGGGAATGAGTCGACGATCGGGACCTCTGGGGCTTAGTGGGCTCTGGGAACGACAGGACCGTGTATGTAACAGTGTACCGGTTCCGTGTCTTGCCGTTTTTGTTTTTGTTTGCTGGTTCCGACGCCGTTTTTTGCTGTTGCTGGTTCCGTCGCTTTCCGCTTCCGGTTCCAGTTCTTATCCCGGAGCCGTTTTTGCTGCCGTTCCCGGCTGCCGTGCCTTCTTACCACTTCCATGTTCAAGAAGCACTCTTTCGAGAGAGGTGAATAACGGCCCTGCCGCTTCTGGGGCCCACGAAGCTCTGGGGCCGCCTCAAGTGCAGAAGAACCCTGAGATCCTGGCGTCGCAATTTGGCTCACAGCGGGCAGGGCCCCTTCACACACGCTTCGCGGCCCCAGCCGAGAAGGCAAGCCGGCACCTCCCGAGAGGTCTTCGGGTGCTCTCTCGTCGTTTCGGAGGCCCGAGCTGACCCGAAAACCCAAAGCAAGCTGTCAGACACGGATCCGCCGACCCTTCGGCGTGTGAAAGACGCGGTCGTCGTCGTCGTCGCTGTCGTCGCAGTCACTGGGTCCTCCTCCTCCTCCAGCGCGCCACTGACGTCCTGCCCCTCCCTCCCATCCCTTACCATGGCGTAGATCTCTCTATTCGCACAGTCGGACGTCGACCAGAGCAATGATCCCGAGAGCGTGCGCGATGCATCGTAGAGCACGGCATAGCAGGGCGTAGAAGAGCACGGCAGAGCGTAGTATGTCATAGCATCGCGTGGCGTGGCGTAGTGAAGACTTGCATCACAACGCATTGCATCGCAAATAATGGCATCGAACAGCGGAACAGAACAGAACAGAACATGGCACAGCATGGCGTTGAAGATCAAAGCGTAGCATGGCATAGCATGACGTGGCACTGCGTTGTCAAGCACTGCATCTCCTAGCATTGCAGCTGAAGGCATGGCACCGCACAATGGAACACCACATAGCATTGCACTGCATGCCGTGGCATGGCACTGGAAATAATGACGCCAGCGCTGCGGCGGGAGCACGATTCGGAACGGGCGGAAGCGCGGAAATGAGTCCAGCGCTGCAGCGGGAGCACGATTCGGAACGAGCGGAAGGCCGAAAATGAGGCCAGCGTTCTCAGCGGGAGTAACAATTTGAAAGAAAAAAAAAAAACTAGTGAGAACCCAACTCCCGAGAATCCGGTGTAAAAAAACAGTGCGCGCAGGTGGGCCGAACATATTCCGCACGTCATCAGGGGAGAGAGGAGAGTAGCATTCATATTGTGTAATTGTTGAGGGGCGGGCCTTCTCAGAAGGCTCGGAAGTCCCCCGTCCTTCTGAGAAGTTCCCTAAGCCTCCCCCGAAGACACAGAACCCATTTCTCAGAAGGCGCGAGGGCTTCTGAGAAGCCCCCCCGCCTTCTGAGAAGGCGTCCCAGACATGCGACGTCCGTTTTTTGTCTATACGCGACCCCCGAAGTCCCGACCCTTCCCCCGGGACCGTTTCTTCATCCCGAGCCGTGTCTTGACGGTCCCGAGGCGCAGTATGGGAGAGAGGCGAGTAGTATTCGGATTGTGGGGGCGGAGGGGGGAGGTCTTGGGTCGGGTTCTGTGGATCGGCGCTGGACCACCCTCCCGGACGCGCGGCGCGCGCCAGGGAGATTGCGCCGGACGCACCGCCAGGGGGGCGTCCGGCGCCGATCCCAGACAATCGGGCGCCACGACGAAGGACAGCAGATCGTAGGAGGACAAACTCGACCAGATCCCTCCAGACCCCACCTCTACGTCGAGATGCAAGCCGATCCGCGGGGACCGCGGGGCCCGATCGGCAAGGCAAACTTCCCAGAGATCCGACGCCGTGATGTCTTCCAGACGGGGTCCCCGAAAGTCTCGACCCCTTCCCCTGGACTGGCTTTGCATCCTGAGTCTTTTTTGGCGGTCCCGGGGCCCGGCGAGGGCCTCTAGAGACCGCAAACGGCGAAAAACCTCCGTCGGAATTTGTTCACTATGCTTAGGTCGGGCATGTCCCCCGGGAGGCGGAGTTGGACGAACAATGTTAACAAACAAATCGTCAAACATCGTCCCCATATCATTTGTTTGCTGAGTTTGGCATATTCCCCCTGTAGAGAGACACGCCCCACTGAAACCTGCGCTGGATCTCTGGGTTGCCCGTCGCGGAAAAAAAAGTGCGACGCCAGGATCTCGCGGCACCCGTCTGCGCACGTGGGAGCTTTCTCCTCCGAGCGCCGTCCAGCGCCACCCAGTTCCCCCGGCGCCCGCCGCACACGACCTCGCGGGGAGACCAAAAGGTATCCATACAGTCGGGGCGCTGAAGAAGGAACTCTTTTCGTTGGGTAGGGGCTCCGTGTTCCTTAATTGTTTCACAGTTTGCCCCACGTTTTCCTTAGGTTTTCGAAGGGAATTCGAAGTTCAACTTCTGGAGAAAAGGGTCCTCGTTCCTTATTTAGGCTTCCCTCCTACCGCAAGTGTTTTTCTCCGGCGCTCAGGGATTGTGCAATGGCGAAGCCGATCTAAAAAAGCGCACCGAACCGGAGACGGGCTCGGACGAGGCTCCACGGCTCCTGGAGGCGCGGGGAGGCGGGCGGGTGACGGCTGAGGCCATTGCTCCCGTCCTGAAGCCTACGAGTCAGGCTTCCCTCCTACCGCAAGTGTTTTCTCCGGCACTCAGGGATTGTGCAATGGCGAAGCCGATCTAAAAAAGCGCACCGAACCGGAGACGGGCTCGGACGAGGCTCCACGGCTCCTGACCCAAACCTCCACACAGCTCGAAAACAGCACGAGGGGAGATCAGGGCAGACGATCCCCGGGCAGTGAGAAGAGCAGCACTCAGATTTTGCCACGCTCGGGCCACGCCGACGTTACAGAGGCGGTGGCGCGAGCGAGCAGGCCGGGCAGAGCGGCGGCAAACCTGCCCACAAGCTCACGCGAGGCCTGCGTCAGGTTCGGCACGAACGCGACGGCAGCGACCTCCTGGATGTAGATCTCCATGGACTTCAGCTGCCTCCACCTGCCGCGCCACTGCGTACGCGGCAGGTCCTCGCTCTGCTGGAAGAAGAAAGTGGCGCCTCCCCCACGGTGCGACGCCGGCGTCAGGCCGTGCGCTTCCGTGGCCGCGATGCCGAAGAACTGCACGAGGGCGTCGTGGCACCTCCGGAAGTGCTGGTAGGTGCCCCTGAAGACCTTCTCCCCGCGCGGCCGCCCGACGGCCAGGCGCTCCAGCAGCCTGACCAGCGCCACCTCGTCACACCTGGCGTGCTCCATGCGCGCCACCGCCCAGCGAGCCTTAGGCTCGCGCACCTTCACGTAGCACACCTCGGACTCGGACATCAGCTGGGATGGCAGCAGCAGGTCCGAGTAGCTCAGGCCGTGCGCCTCGCCTGGGCGCAGCATGCACGTGAACGCCAGGAAGATCAGGACGGCCATGTCGATCCACTGCCAGCTGAGCGCCAGCGCCACCAGCGCCCGCAGCACCGGCAGAGGCGTGGGATACCGGTGGCGCGTCGGCACCGCGAACTGCCACGCCGCCGACACGTCCCACGCCGCGCCCATGTGCCTGCGCAGGGACCGCTCGGTGTCCACGATCGCGTTGATGGTCTCCGTGTAGTGCTTCAGGCTGCGGCCCCGCGAGTAGAGCACCTGCCCGTACGAGGCGACGATGCTGGAGACCACCCGCGGCAGCTGCACCACCAGCTCGGCCACGGAGCAGCCGCCGTCCAGCGCCATCAGCCACGTCTCGAACTGTTGCAGGAGGAGCCGGCGCATCTGCGCGGTCTTGGTGCCGGTCTGAGGCCGCAGGCGCAGGTCCACCGCGGGCCGCGGCGCCGGAGGTTCGCCAGCCACGCGCGCGCCTCCCGTCATCATGACAAGGCTGAGCCAGACCACGGCGAGCGTCCTCCCAGGGCCCTCGCCTGGGTAGCCGAGCGAGCTGTCGAAGTCCTTCAGCGTCCACAGCTGCACCAGCTTCAGCGCCATGCGACACCACTCCGACTCCGCACGCCGCTGCCGGGGCACCCGCGTCCACTGGTCGAGGCCGCCCAGGTCCCCCGCCGCCGCCGAGCTCCACCAGGGCGGGCGCGCGGCCGAGGGGGGCGCTATCCCTCGGCCCCGCGACGGGCCGTCGGCGGGGATCAGGCGCGTGGGTGCGAAGTCGTACCCCGGGTACACGTCGAAGCCCAGGACGTCGGGGAGGCCTACCTTCAGGTCGTCGTTGAGTGCATGCGATGCCGAACGGCCCTTGGCACAGGCCCCCAGCGCGACGGTCGAGTCCAGCAGAAACGGCTGCCTGGTCCCGGGC